GCCTTCCCCATGACCCCTTTGAGATGGTGCAGCTTTTAAGATAAGACTATTCTGGAAATCAAACAATTTTAGTTGTGGAGACTCATCTGTAGACTGAACGGCAAGATGAGTTGGGACTGAGGCTGCCAAGTCCACGTTCTTGTGGAAAGTCTTCCTCTGGCTGAAAGGTGTTACCAAAGAAGCAAAGTAGTAGAAAGGTTTTGGGGACCTTTGCAAAACTTAAGCAACTGTTTGTGGTGTGTCAGGTGTGCTTAGCATGACTTATTGTCTAGAAATTCCTCTTCCCTTTACTTAATGCTCATGGTTTCTTTATCTTCTAAATATGAAATAATTTCTCTTGCATCCTTATTTTCATTTGTTGCTTTTGTAGGAGTGGGAGAGAAGAGCAGAGCAGAAAAACTGGTAAATAGTGTTGGAGTGAGCAAGAAATACCAGCATTTGGACAGCATGTACATAAATTGATGACAAAATCTCTTTGGCCTTTTGGAAGAGTAAGCAAAAAAAAAAAAAAACTCCTCGTGAGTTGTTCTTCATTCTGTACTGGTTGTAGGCAAGCATCTTTGAAGGGCATGCTTGCATACTTCATTATATAATTAGGAAATGAGGAAGGAGGGTTGTGTTTAATATTTAGATAGAAGTTTTCTTCCTTACATTACAACTCCCTTGTAGGATTCAGAACCATGGGAGATGTAATTACTCAGGGGAAAATGTCTTTTTCTCCACCCTTCTCCTTCCCTAAAACTTCCCTTTGATTTCTCACTGCAGATTGACAGCCCTACCTGCTCATATTGAATGCGGTACACAGAGCTCTTTCAGAAGCCTGTATCGAAAGCAGGCATTTATCGGTATTGCCCATTACTTCCCAGCAACTGCCTTTACTAATTTTCTTTTCAGAAATTATTGTGGAACATACTGTTATCTCTGCAGAAGGAAAATATTGTATGCAAGAGGATTGGGTTGAGGAAAAATGTGATAAACAGCCTCCTGTAGATATTGGATTTAAACACAAAGCAGTGGTACCATGTCGTTCCCATGTCCCCACAGCAAAAACAAGAAGGTTGTTGGTATACGAGTGATGAAAATGCCCAACTGAGCTAATAAAGATTCTTAAGATTCCTTACACAGTTCACTTTTTTTTGATGGCTGAACATACCCATTAAGGCAGCATTTTCATTCCATAGCCCTGATTTGAGCTCTGTGCCTTATTGGGCATAACAAAAGGAGACTGCTCATGAATCTGCTTAAACTTGATGAGGATCCTGAAGCTGGAACTCCTACGTTAGACCTCCCACAGAAAAAGTTGAAACCCCCATGAGGCAGCTGTTGGCAAGCTTGTGATTTCTTTTTAAACTGTGTCTGTTTAATGGGTATACAGGGGTATATAGACTTGAAAGCCTTTCCTCCCAGAGAAAAGCCAAATAAGAGCCGGAGGCAAATCCTTGACTTCCTAAAATCCTTGGGAACTGGCTCCAGTGCAGTGTTTATAACACAGCCATTAAAAAGCCAAACTGAAAGAACTTAAATCCTGGCCTCAATTTTGGTGTGAGCCCCTCTGAAGCTCAGAATTATTCATAAGAAGCATGAACTCGCTTGGCGTTCAAGCTTTGCTCTTCTCAAAACATGCCTCACCAATAAATCTAATTATTATTGCCTTGCAATGATTCTCACAAACAATGCGCTTGACTGCCTGGTCCACCCACACTAAGTGAAAGAATATGAACGTTTTAATTATCAGATTATTTCAATGTTACACAAACACTGCTTCAAATTAAATATTTTTACAAACCAATGACACATCTGTATTCAGTTCTCTGAGTGAATGATATTTGTTCCCTGCCTACTAATGCCTATAATTAATATCTCTAAAGCACCTTGTTATTATATTTCATGCCAGTCTCCCTAAGTAAGGTCACTGTGAGAGTGGGATATTCTTTCTGCTGCCATTCCTTGGCTAACGTTTTCATCTATATGTAACTTCTGCTGAGTAAGCTCTCAAAGTGAAATTAATTTTTGAAATGTAGCTGGGGAGAAAGACATCATACCACCCATTTTCTAAAGCCACTCCTGGTCCATATGTATAACTGCAAGTCTTATAAACCTGTTTTAAGTGACAGAGCTCCGCAAATGTTTTAGAAGCGCTGTAATTCAGAAAGCGAGAGCTACAGTTTCTAACATTCAGAAGATTGTGAGTGCATGTGGTAAAGTAACTGCCTATGAGGCATTTGGGCGTAGAGACAGGGCTAGATTTTCTGCTTTGCTGCATTCGGTAGTTACAGTTCTGCTGTTGCCTCCTGAAGAGATTTTGGGCAGAACTGACAAGCGCTCTGCAGTTTAAGGCTGGCGGACACTGCAGAGTTGGCTTGTGTCCTGCGGACCAGCCTTGCTCAATGGGCAGACTGCAAACAGAGAGGGAGCACAGTTCAAGAGGAACGGGCAAGGAGCTGGGTTTTATGGCTTCTGTTCTGGTGTAGACCCTGAAAGATCTTACAACTATGGCGCAAATTAGAACAGGCCACTGGTTGCTCTGCCTTGTGCTAGCGCTGGTTGTGCTGGCACGTGGGGCTCTAACTAGCTCCTAGGTGCCTCCTGCTTTCCCTGCCATCAAGCTGCTTACGTAGAACTGAGAAGCCACCACCAAGTTTGATCTGTATCCCTTTTTTTTTTTTTTTAAAAGCAGCGACACTGTAGACAGTACAGTCTTTTGTATACCCGGTCTTTGTAGTTCAGTTTTATATGATAAGGTAACAAGGTTTGGGGGAGGAGGAGGGGCGTGTTCAGCTGCACGTGCACTGCTCGAGTATGATGCTGATGGTATTGGCACACTGCTCGTGTTGCTCTGATCTGGCCTTGAAACACCTGCGGGGCTGGAATGTAGGCAGGAGAGCAGGAAGGAGGTACGTCAGGCTAAGACCCTTCTGGGATTAGTCTAGCTTTTACAGCTCATCCAGCAGTGGTACTGGGAACAACGCTTTCCTAACAGTGCAGGTAGCGTCCTATAAAAGAGGAGTAAGATGCCGTTAAAACCTGAGACGTCATTTCTTGACTCCTTTTGTTTAGGAGAAGTTTCATTCTGGGAGAGATGCTAGTCATCTAGTAACAGCAGAGTGCAGTGATGAGTTTGCATTTCTTTCTCTACCTTCCTCTTATTCCCTCAGGACTGATGTAGTGACTTTGAGTGGGGTGAGGTAACAATGTGAGCTCTAGAGCGGAGTTTGAGTCTCATCTTTGCCCCAAAACAGACTTTCCGTCTGGCTTTAGACAAATCATTGAATGACACATTTGCAATTGTAAAATACCAAATGTTTTGATACTTTTCTTGATATTATGCTCTACATAGATGGGAACAACCTTGAGAATCTGAGACATGCTGTTGCTCTTCCTTAGACCAAGCAGCAGGTACGCAAGCTTTTGGAGGAGGGTGGTTTGAGTTATGCTACCGTGGGGATCTTATGTGTATTGTGTTACAGTGCCCATCTCTCTCGTAGCGTGTGCAGGGCTGCTGTACATCTACTTTTTTCTTTTTCCCAGGCTCCCTTCCAAGCAAATTCTTACCCGGGCTTTTGAATCCCTTAGCAAGAACGGGACCTTCAGTCCTGTGGAGAAAGGAGGAGGCAGGCTCAGCCGGCTCCGGTGCGGTGTGAGGGGAGGGGAAGTGCTGATAACCAGTGGGAGTGTGAAGCTGCAGTTAGGGCTGCCAATTGTACGGGATTAGAGCAGGCTCCAAACCCAGCATCGTGTGCTGACAGGATCTCTGGTGGGGAGGGCTCTTAGGCATCAGAGAGACAGCCAGGAGCTGATACGAGTGGCCATTAGTGTGGCTCTGCAAGCTTCTATTAATGAATTTACTGCTCTCTGGTGATATAGAAAGGCCGTGACTATTTAATTTGCTTCTGAAAGTGAAGTCTCAGAGGGAGTGGGAGAGACCTTTGGGTCTTGGGACAGTGGGAAAGAGCTTGGGAGGAACTGGGAAAGTAAGGAGAAATTCTGAGAAAAGGAAACTTCCCCTAGAGCTGAAGAATGAGAGAATTGTGGGGGCCCTGGATTCTGTAAGGAGGGAGTTGGAAACTTCTAAGAGACTATGGCCCAGGTGGCATGGGGTGGGCTATAAAACAGTGGCCGCTTCTTTCACATCCCCATCTGCTGACCGCACCTTCTGATCAGCATCTCCGACTATACCTTTCCTCATTCCCCTTTAAACTTTCTGAAATATGGCAGCCCTGAGTACGTGCTATAAAAAGCAGACAATGTTTGTAGAGCACATGAAATATCAAAAGGGCTATGCAACTGCTAAGCTTAGTAAGCATTATTCATTAACAGTAACCTAACATTAGAAGACAGCAAGAGTTCAATGGGCTTTCTTTACAATAGGCTACTTAAACCACCCGCATGGAAGTTCATTCTTCTCCCTGCTGATCAATGTATTGCTCTGCAGTTGCCCCCTCTGCCCTTTCCCTGGTGGGATCTCAGGTGTATTGTTGTAAGTTCTGGGACTGGAGAGGGCAAGAAACCAAAATCCACAGAACGGTGACTGACTTAGTTGCACAAGCCTCTATTTAGGTGGCCCATGTGTAATATACTGAAGGATAACTTCTCTGTGACTTTTTTTATTTTCTTATTTTTATTTTTTGCTTGCTGGAAGACGATTGTGCAGTCGGGAAAACTGTTGCAAAATGCTTGTGCATTGGGAGAACAGACTTACAACAACCAGTGTGTTAACATCTGAGGAAAACTGTTTCTTGTAAAGTGCAGAGTCAGGACTGGTTCTCTGGCATATTTCCTCTGTGTTTGGGAAGAGTGTGTGTTTCTGTGTGCGTGCACACCACATGTATGTATGGAGGTGGGACTGAAGTTGCTAACTTGTTGCTCACGCATTGTTCTGTACCTTATGTCACTATTTTGTACGTTTCACTGAAATATCTTGCTTGGGCTCTGTAACAGCATTGTCTAATCAGCCTTTTTTATTTCCACCCCCCTCTCTCCCCCTCCTCCTCCTCCTCCAGTCAGCATACGCTGTGTCAGTGCTCAAAGAGTGTGCTAAGCTGCGACCTGCAGATCCCACCGTTCCCCTTCTGGCTGCCAAGGTCTGCATTGGACCACTGCACTGGGTAAGCAAGCTGATGCAATTCTTACGTAATGTATCAGGTACCGCAGTGACAGTGCCATAGTGTAGCTGAGGAGGCAGGGGGAGGAGGAGAAGAGGAATCTTTGTTAAAAATCATGTAAGCAGGCACATACATGCATCTAAGTGAACAGAAGTTCAATCTGGCTGGCCCATTAAACAAAGGGTGGGGCTGGGGAGCCGTAACAGCAGCCTGGGGACTGCTGCTTCAAGTGACTATCCAGAGCTGAATTGGCCACCCTTCTAGCCCCTGGAAGGCAGAAGCTAATCAGTGTAAGTGGGTCTGGCCGTTGCACTGTTAGACAGTTCAGCTCTGCTGGACGATTCGATCCTTTGTTCTTGAAGCTGCTGTGTCAGTGATTTCTGTTCTGGATGTGTTAATGTATGCCCCAGAAGCAGAGTGGGAGTGGAGGTCTGTGCCTGTGAAATCCTGATTATTCCAAGGAGCAGAAACATCTGTCAGTCTTTTGCTGCTTGGTTTAATTAATTGAATGGCAGCCTGCTGTTTTCACCTCTGTCCTCACCACAAGGTGTCCCTGCAGTTGGTGAAGGATTATAGTTGTTAATATAAGCAAAGCAAAGATGCAGGAAAGCATGAAAGAAAATGCCAGAAGCAGAAAATACCAGAATCTGCCCAGATTCTGGGGGAAAAATTGTAGGGGCTAAATTCATTGTGACCCCCTCTCCCCTTCC